AGTGAAGTATCTGAAGGCCCAGTGCTGAAGCATTTAAAACAAGGACTGGGGAGAAAAACAATGAAACCCAGCAAAACAATTAAATCACCTGTAGCACCAATACCAGTCCTGTCAGCATCTTCAGCCCTCTTTACTCAGACATTGCAATCTACCACACCAGCAGGTAATAAAATAATGCAATGAAGAATGAGAACCTTATAGTCCTGGTATCTTTTTCTCTAGCTGGTTTCCCTGCAGATGCAGTTCATATGCTGTAAATGCCACTGTAAACCACAGGCTCAAACTGCAGCAATTTTTTTTAAGTCTAATGAAGGGAGAGAGCAGTGGGGAGGAGACAGATTTTTGTTGAATTCTCCATATCTCTACTCTACACATATGCAGAGAGCAGGACAAGACACTTAGTTAGAAGGGCCCAGCCCCAGAAGCATCTAGAGGAGGTGGTGGGGAGGGATAGTAGTCTCTGGTTATGTATGCTAATAACTGCCTCTGGAGTTGTGCAGAGGGTTTCCATTAAGGCCAGACTGTCCGCCAGGTTCCACACATCCACCAAGAGCAGAGTGGGGAAAATGGAGCAAGAGACTGACCTGTTGCCTCAGCAGATGAACCATGCAGCACTCAGAAATGTCTGCTGTGAAAGCTGCATCCCAGAGCCTTGTGCCACTTTGGATCCAGATTACAGCTGCCCTAGCTTGCTGGAAGCTGAGCAGATGCCAGCTGTTGATGCCAGAAGTGGAGCTGGCCATGAGGAGTTTAATGGAACACTGTGGAGCTTCCATCGTCATCTGGTTCTGTGGAGTTCAGGTGACACGTGCACTGTTGATGGCATACTGCAGAGACTGAGAAGTCATCAGAGTGTATGCGTGTGTGCAAGCTCAGGTGTACAGCTGTCACTATAATTCATTTGACAGCAGTAAAGTGGGGAAGTTTGTGTGGGAAAACGCCAACTGAGTTACTGCTTACTAATTTTGTCGAAGGCAAAATTTTCACAAGTATTCCAAAGGCCGGTTGCAGATATTTGTATCAAAATTAATTGTTCATCCTTAACAACTTCTATGGCACACTGTCTCAGGGCTTGTCGACACCGGCACTTTACAGCGTTGCAACTTTCTCGCTCAGAGGCGTGAAAAAACACCGCCTCCCCGAGCGCAGCAAGTTTCAGTGCTGTAAAGTGCCAATGTAGACAGTGCCCCGGCGCTGGGAGCTACACCCCTCATGGAGGTAGTTTTTTTAGAGTTCTGGGAGAGCTCTCTCCCAGCGCTCTACTGCAACTACACAAGCCTGTTGCCAGTGTAGACTAGCCCTCAGTGGTTTAAATCTGTGTAATCCTTTTTTTCTAAGTCCTGAAAAGACTGAGCTCTGGCCTATGCTTCAGCAGAGAGATAGGCTGAGGCTCAGGTAAAAAGGGAGTGTATTAGTTACACCTAATATTAGGTCACCACACTCCTAAACCATTACACCTGATTCTCTCCTTATTCTTGTGTAGGGAATAACTACTTATTATGCTACAGGTGATTTACTTAATTATTAAGTCAGGAATAACTCCTTTGAATTCATTGTAATTACCTCAGAGTAAAACCAGTGTGAGAAGAGAAACAGGTCCACAATTGTCTCATCCTTGTTCTAATATTACTGAGCTAGTGGGGTTATTGCTTCACAATGTGTTACTCAGGAATATTCTGAAACATTGAGTTCCACAGATTAATTTTACATTTTGTTAATGAAATAGTACATTTTATCCATTTACAATTTACAGTATTTTTAATTTCATTGAGAAATCTCTGGTTCTTTTACATCATAGAGCATGTATACACTATGAAATTAGATCAATTTTATAGAAGTTGATCTTGAGTAAGTGATTTTATACAGTCGATCGTGCGTGTCCCCACTAAGCGCATTAGGTTTGTCCTCAATACTGTGGCTAGCATCAACTCACAGAGTGTTGCACTGTGGGTAGCTATCCCACAGTCCCTGCTGCCCATTGGAATTCTGGGTTGAGCTCCCAATGCCTGATGGGACAAAAACATTGTCGCGGGTGATTTTGGGCACATGTCATCAGTCTCCCATCCCTCCCTCCCTCCCTCCTTGAAAGCAATGGCAAACAATCATTTTGCACCATTTTGCTGAGTTATCTGTACAGACACCATAGCACTGCAAGCATGGAGCCCACTCAGCTGCACACTGCTTTTGTGAGCATTGTAAACACCTCGCGCATTATCCTGCAGTATGTGCCGAGCCTAGCTAGGAGCCTCCAGCACGAGGAAGATTGTGAGGAGGACACGGACATAGACCTTCCTGAAAGCATGGGATGTGGTAATTGGGATATCATGGCAGCATTGGGCCATGTTGATACAGTGGAACACCGATTCTGGGCCCAGCAAACAAGCACAGACTGGTGGGACTGCCTAATGTTGCAGGTATGGGATGATTCCCAGAGGCTGCAAAACGTTTGCATGTGTAAGGCCACTTTCATTGAACTTTGTGAGTTGCTTTCCCCCACCCTGAAGTGCAGGAATACCAAGATGAGATCTTCCCTGACAGTTGAGAAGCAAGTGGCATAGCTCTGTGGAAGCTTGCAATGCCTGACTGGTACTGCTCAGTTGGAAATCAATTCGGAGTGGGCAAATCTACCGTGGGGACTGCTGTGATCCAAGTAGCCAGGGCAATCAATAACCTTCTGCTAACAAGGGTAGTGACTTTTGGAAATGTGCAGGTCATAATGGATGGCTTGCTGCAATGGGGTTCCCTAACTGTGGTGGGGCAATAGACGGAACACATATCCCTATCTTGGCACCGGACCACCTTGCCAAATGGTACATAAACCACAAGGGGTACTTCTCAATGGTGTTGCAAGCACTGGTGTATCACAAGGGCTGTTTCACCAACATCAACGTGGGATGGTTGGGAAACGTGCATGATGCTCGCATCTTTCGGAACTCCGGGCTGTTCAAAAAGCAGCAAGAAGGGACTTTCTTCCCAGACCAGAAAATTACTACTGGGGATGTTGAAATGCCAATAGTTATCCTTGGGGACCCAGCCTACTCCTTGCTTCCATGGCTTATGAAGCCATACACAGGCAGCCTGGACAGCAGTAAGGAGCAGTTCAACTATAGGCTGAGCAAGTGCAGAATGGTGGTAGAATGTGCCTTTGGATGTTTATAAGGGTGCTGGCGCTGTTTGTTCAGCAGGTTAGACCTCAGTGAAAGCTATATTCCCATTGCTATTGCTGCTTGCTGTGTGCTCCATAATATCTGTGAGAGTAAGAGGGAGATGTTTATTGCAGGGTAGGAGGTTGAGGCAAATCACCTGGCAGCCAATTTTAAATAGCCAGACACCATGGCAATTAGAAGAGCACATTGAGGCGTGCTGTGCATCAGAGAGGCTTTGAAAAACTGTTTCATGACTGACCAGGCTATGGTGTGACAGTTGTGTGTGTTTGTCCTTGATGCAAAGCTGCCCCCTTTGGTGAATGTACTTCCCTGTAAGCCAGTTCCCCTACCCCCTTCAACCACTGCTGGCACAGGAAATAAAGTCCCTATTGTTCTGAATCCATTCATTCTTTATTTAATAAAAAAACCTTGACAATGCTGACTAGTAAAACGTAGCCCAGGTGGGGTGGGGGAGGAGGGAAGAACAAGGCCACATTGCTTATTGTAGCCACACTACAAATCAAAGCTGTTTGAATGACAGCCTTCTGTTGCTTGGGCCATCCCCTGGAGTTGAGTGGCTGGTGCCCAGAGCCTCCTCCCCTCCCACTCACCGTGTTCTTGGGCATTGGGTGAGGAGGATATGGAACTTGGCAAGGAGGACAGGCGGTTACACAATGGATGCAGTGGGGGTCTGTACTCTAGTTGCCTTTCCTGCAGCTCCACCAGATGCCTCATCATGTCCATTTGCTCCCCCATTAGCTTCAGCAACTCCTCCTGCGTGTTCTGATCATGCTCACTGTATGCTTTCCTGGCCTCTGCCACCGAATGCCTCCATGCATTCAGCTGTGCCCTATCAGTGCAGGAGGACTGCATGAGCTCTGCGATAACCTCAGGGATGGAGTTGATAGGGGGAGCATAGAAACATTTGCATCTGCAGGGGGGGAAAAAAAGGGAGAATAGAATTTAAGAAGATACATTTCTGAGAACAAAAGGGAGACTCTTTCACAGTGAATCAAGCAATTCACAGCAGACAGCACATGTGTTTTAGGTGCAAGGTCGCATTTTGCCTTTTATATTGAGCGCCTGCTGGTATGGTGAAATATCACACACGGCTGGGCAACAGAATTCGGTTTCCAGGCAGCGATGGTAAGCCAAAGGGTATGCAGGATTGGCTTCTTCCGCGTTCATAACATGTGGGAATGGTTTCAAACTGCAGTGCCCTCCTTTCCCATAGCAACCAATGCTGGTTGGGTTTGCCATTTAAAAGGAGGGGCTGCGGTTTTGGGGTGGATGTGCAGCACACACCTCCCCCCACCCCACCACGTGGCTATTCTCCAGGATGATCCCTTTTAGCCAAGCACAAACAGCCTAGCATGACTGGGGTCTAATGTGCAGGGGATCACCAAACAAATGGGATTACTGTTCCCTTACAAAAATTCCCCTATTTCAACCAGGTGACCATGAATGATATCACTCTCCTGAGGCTGACACAGAAAGATAAAGACTGAATGTTGCATGAATGCAACCAAAACCCAGGACCATTCGCTGCCATGCTTTGCGCTGCAATGATTCCAGACTACTTGCTACTGGTTTCGCATGGTAAAGTGTCCTACCGTGGAGGAGGAAATAAGGCAGCCCTCCCCAGAAACCTTCTGCAAAGGCTTTCAGAGTACCTCCAGGAGAGCTTCATGGAGATGTCCCTGAGGATTCCCGCTCCATCCCCAGACACGTTAACAGACTTTTCCAGTAGCTGTACTGGCTGCGAATGCATCCCAATTGTTTAGGGCAAATCAAACATTAAACACAATTGCTTTTAAACCCTGTACTGTAGTTACAAATGTGCACTCGCCAGAGGTGCCTTCTCTGCCTTCAGGGTCCAGGAACAATATGCCCTGGGAGGGTACTGGCTCCAGGGTGATCAAAAGGTCCTGGCTGCCGGGGAGAACGGATTCACCGCTTGCCTGTTGCACATTCTCCTCCTCCTCTTCCTCATCCACAAAATCCTCCTCCCTGTTGCATGAGACTCCTCCCTTGCAGTCTCCACGGACACTGGTGGGGTAGTGGTAGGGTCCCCCCCTAGAATGGCATACAGCTGATCTTAGAAGTGGCATGTCTGGGGTTCTGACCCAGAGTAACCATTTGCCTCCTTTGTCTTTTGGTAGGCTTGCCTGAGCTCCTTAATTTTCACGTGGCACTGCTGTGTGTCCCTGGTGTAACCTCTCTCCACCACGCCCTGTGCAATTTTGGCATATATATTAACATTTCTTCTGCTGGATCGGAGTTCTGCCTGCACAGATTCTTGTCCCCATACAGCAATCAGATCCAGGGTCTCCCGTTGGCTCCATGCTGGAGCTCGTGTGCGATTTTGGGTCTGCATGGTCACCTGTTCTGCTGAGCATGCCATGCTGACCAAGGAGGAAATGAAATTCAAAAGTTCCCAGTGCTTTTCCTGTGTACCTGGCTAGTGCATTGGAGTTGAAAGTGCTGTCCAGAGTGGTCACATTGGAGCTCTCTGGATAGCTCCTGGAGGCCATCGAATTGCACAGCACTGCATCTACAGTACCCCAAATTCGACCCAGGAAGGTCGATTTTAGTGCTACTCCCTTCGTCGGGGAAGAGTACAGCAGTTGATTTTAAGAGCCCTTTAGGTTGGCAGAAGGGGGTTGGTTGTGTAGACACATTCCTTATAAAATCGACCTAACGCGGCTAAATTTGACCTAACCGCGTAATATAGACCGGGACATAGGAACAAGCTAATAGATGCTCCTGAAGGGCTTCCCCTGTCCCATTCTTTGATTTACAGATCTCTATCACATCTCCTCTTAGTCTTCTTTTTAAAAAAAAATCAGAGGGGAAAATCACAAGTATAGCTAATAATTGCTGAAGGAAGCAGAAGAAAAGGGAGTAAATGTTAAATCTGTTTACCTTGAAATATGAGTCATGCCAGAGTATTTCCCTCCATTTGGGGAAAGTATTATATCTAAAGGTTAATTGAGTAGGGTAGGAGTGAGTAAATGTAATAATTACTTGAGAATACTCGAGCAATCCTGCTAAAGAAAGAGGAAAAGATACACAGTGTAACTGTAACATTTTGTGAATGAATAAAAAATCCAGTTTAATCCTACTCATACTGCTTACTTCACTCCAAGTACAACAGTGAGATATCATCTTTAAAGGAGAAATACTTAATATTGTCCCATTATTTTCCTTTATTGAGTTTTTTAAACACAGTTTAATTTCTGGCAGTCTGAGCCACAGTACAACTGTGCTGAAAATAGAAATACAAAGATAATCAACAATACGTGTATTAACAAGAACTTCAGCTTTTTCAGCTGATGCTGCTTTAACTAGATGCTTAGACACAATTGTATACCTACATTACAGCAGGAATCAAACCTTGGTCTCCCACAAGGCAGTGTATGCTGCTAACCACCTAGGAATACTGTCAAACTTGTCCCACATGAACAAAGCTAGGAGCATCTTTAATGGGTTCATGATTCAGGTCTATTGGCTGAGTGTGCGTGAAGACTATTTGATGGGAAAGTGCAGCAGGAGATTACTTGGGGGATTTCTCACAGATGCATAGGAAAGGAACTGCACAGCTGGAGGCGTGGAGGGCATCCTTCAATAGGACAGCACAGTGCTGCACGGGGCTGTTAGAGGTCACCCTGCAAAAGACACAAAAGGAACACAGATGGGTTGTGCGAAGAATAGTGAAAGATTCCTTGCCGAAAGAGAAACAGGCTCATGTTTTACTCCACCCATATTCTGGTTAATGACTTCAGAGGGAGTTTTTCCTGAGTAAACACTGAGTAAGGTGCTCAGGATCTGTCTTATGGACTTGAAAACAACTGAAAACCCCAAAACTAAAAATTGAATCAAACCAACTTTATATCGTTGAATGTTGAGCCATCTTCCCAGGCCCAGCCAGAGCCATTGAAATTTGTCAATCCAATCCAGTGTTCTTCTGCATGGATCCCCAGGAACAGGTTCTACAAGGGAAGAAGGACAGAAGGGACAAAGGATCTGAACAAAATCACCCTGGGCAAAAAACAGCAACATAATGTAAGGGAGTAAAATATTCCAACCTTTCAGAAAGACCACTGTGATTCCCGCTGACTAAGACCTGCTCTGTGAGCCAAGCAATTTTAGTCTCTTTAATACTTCCTTGAGTCATAGTACTTGTGGGAAAGACCCACAAGAATTGAGAATTTGGGAACTAGTGGTGATCCCAACTGGTGGTGAAGGGGAGCAAAGACCTCACATCTTCAGGGTGCATGTGGAGGAGCAGGAGCATGTCCCAGCACTCACTTATGTTATTTTATGTGTCTGTTAACTAGAAATGAAAGGGGCTAAACAATTCTTTACCAGATGTCATTCATCCCATAATTTTACAGATCTCCATTTCTGATGCCTGTTCTCCCATAATCTATGGGACTCTGCACCAAATGTCAGTCTCCCATAATCTCACAGGTAGAGTTGGTCCAAAGATGGTATTGTTTTCTGCGGAAAATTTCTACCAAAATGGAAAATTCTGACTAGACACCTAAAACTCCAACCCCCAGAAACTAGAAATATTTAGATTTTCAGAAACTGAAAATTTTCAGATGAAAACCAAAACACTTTGTCAAACTCCCAAAATTTTCGGTTTTGGGTGTTCAATTTTCCAAAATCTAAAACTTGTGAGGAAAACAGACTCTTGGTATGAAAATTTCCATTTAGTCAAAACACCCATTTTCTGTCAAAAACATTTTGATGATAAATTTTCAACCAGCCCTTCCTCAGAGCTCCAGACTATCACATCTGCCAATTGAATTGCTACAGATTTGGCTGCATTACTGGCATTCACCTTTTCCCTGTTGTCACTGATTACCAAGAGCCCTGAGTCTTGGGCAGAGCAGAAATTCCAGCTAGAATTCCAATCTTTCTTTTCCTTGGAGAAGTAGTAACAGCTGTCTCTATATTGTACCCACTGGTCAGGGCATCCCGGACAGGAATGATCTGTAAAGGAATCATAAAATACTTATAATGGCTCAGGTCAGAGACCCTGTGTCTTTCCTGACAATACTTACACTTGATAGCCAAGGCCACTGAGACTCCTAACAACACCAGGCAGAAGATCCCCAGAATCACCGCAATGATCTGCCAGGGAGGAGCCGGAGCAGGGGAAGCTATCAAGAAAACAGGAAACATAAATATGGGCAGAATGAGCCACTGTCCTGAGTATCTGAAGTCAGATAACACACAACCATATCTGAAAACCAAATAACACATTTCCATTCACTAGATGCTAAGTAATTCTAGCAGCCAGTGAGAGTGCTTGCAACAAATTTGTCTGGTCTGTCAGAGCCCTTCACCTGCAAACCACCCTGCTTCTGTGCTATGTGCTGCTTTTTATCTCCCTGCTAGTATGGTGTTGATTGATATAATAGAGGAACATTTTTATTTTAATATCCTTAAAAATCTCTCTAGGGGCAGAGGAAGTAGTAAGTTGTTTAACTAAAGACAGAACAACAAAAGGAAGAATATCAGCTGCTTGATCATTTACAATACCTTTGATTTCTGCATATTCAGGTCTTTGATTCAACTGCTGCTTAGGAGAAGTGAGAAATTTTGTATTCGTGTAGATCGTCTCTTTCTTTCTCATTTCTAGTGGGTTATAAGAGTGGAAATTTAGACTATTTATGGGGCTAAGATAAGAAATGAGTAGAGAGGTGGCTAGCTGCAAAATCTGATATGGATCTGAACTTCTGCAAAGTTGATTGGCTTTTGGATCAAGTTTTTCAGTTTGGGTCCATCTCTAAAGGCAAATCATAATACACTAGAACAGGAGAGATCTGTGTGTCACATGGGTTGGCTAAAATAATAATTTCTTTAATATACTTTTTTCTTGCTGCTTGTACTAAACTGTACCACAGAAGAATTAAAAAGTTACACATTCATATAATCTCATTCATTGTAAGTATCATCACACCTTTCTGAATTTACAGCACAAGTGATATACTTCTCCAACGATAAAAGCACCAGGAGCATTTCGCCAGGAAGAATATATTTGCACCTGTAGACCCTTAGGAAGAAGCTGAAAATTTGGAACACAACTTTATGTGGTGTATCTCTCCTTGTCCTGTATTCCTGGAGAAGAAGGAGTCTGATATCACTTCTGAGTAACCTGATAGAAGCACTATGGTGGAGAAATGAAGAGTTATTAACTCTGCAATGAACAATACCAACTATAATGACACAGGAAACGTGCACACCTCTATCCCAACACAAACAATTCAGAGCAAAGGGGCTATCTTCTCAGGATTCAAATGACACTCATTATAATCATGATGTTAACTTCAAACACTAGCTGGAACCATTTAAATCAGGGGAGGGCAAAGTACGGCCCATGGGCTGGATCCGACTGGTTAGGGCTTTCAATCTGGCCAGCAGGATTGCCATCCCTGTGGTACAGCGGGTCTAAGGCAGGCTTCCTGCCTGCCCAGGCCCCGCGCTGCTTCAGGAAGCGGATGGCACCACATTCCTGCAGCCCCTGGCCGGGGGCAGGGGAGCAGAGGGCTCTGTGCGCTGCCCTCTCCCGCAGGCACCACTCCACACAGCTCCAATTGGCTGGGAACGGGGAACCGCAGCCAATGGGGGCTTTGGAGGTGGTTCCCACAGGCGAGGGCAGCGCACAGCGGAGACACCTGACCTATTCCACCCCCAGGAGCCACAGCCAGACATGCTGGCCACTTCTGGGAGCAGCGGGGGGCCAGGGCAGGCAGGGAGCCTGTCTTAGCCCCGCTGCCACCCTGGAGCCACTTGAGATAAGCGATGCTGGGCTGGAGCCTGCACCCTGAACCCCTCCTGTACCCCAACCTCCTGTCCTGAGCCCCCACCCCCTGCCACAGCCCACATCACTCCTGCACCCCAACCCCCTGCCCTGAGCCCCCTAACTGCCTGCCTTGAGCCCCCTGCCACACTCCTCCTGCACTCCAACCCACTTCCCTGAGCCCCCTACTGCATCCTGCACCCCTCCTGCACCCCAACCCCCTGCCTGAGCCCTACATTCATGGCCCGGCACACAATGTCCCCACCCAGATGTGGCCCTTGGGCCAAAACGTTTGCCCACCCCTGATTTAAATGGTGAAGTAATTAAGCTACTATATGAGACAAGAAAACAAATTTGTATACAGGTCAATGGGCAGCTTCTGGGTGATGGCGCTTAAGTGACATTCTGATGAAATAGAAACTTTCCCCCAGTGTCCTATAGATAGGCTTGGAAAAATACATTTTTTAAATAATTTCAATGTATAATATTTGTCTTTATTTTTAAGTTTTTAAATTTTGATCAATTTAAATTCACAGTGGTGCAAAATTATGAGTTTTAAGCAATTTTTTAAAGATTTTTTCTCTATTTGAGTTGTTACAGTTGTGGAAAGTTATGGAGGGTCAGACAATAATTATTTAATGACAGTAGATGTTGAGATTTAAATAATGAAAGATGTAAAACTCTTAAAACACAAACTGTCAACATCATATGTCAAAATGTTAGTCTTAAATCAAACTCTAATATGTTCTTAAGCAGCATTTGTCTTACTTTGACAATCTGTAAATTTTGATAATTATTGAGAGAAATATTTCCTTTTCAGTTTGTGTGTGTCTGGTGAAATCACTATTTATCGGTTTCAGAGGAACAGCCGTGTTAGTCTGTATTCGCAAAAAGAAAAGGAGTACTTGTGGCACCTTAGAGACTAACCAATTTATTTGAGCATGAGCTTTCGTGAGCTGATGAAGTGAGCTGTAGCTCACGAAAGCTCATGCTCAAATAAATTGGTTAGTCTCTAAGGTGCCACAAGTACTTCTTTTCACTATTTATCAACATTCGTCGATAAAAATCTAATCTTTCCAAGCCTACCAACAGAGCCCTTCCAGTAATGGAAGACTGTGTGGCCTTTTGTGTGTGAAAAGGGATAGTTATGGACTCCAGTTTCCTTAGAGTTTCAGTCTGTAGTACGATTTCAACATTTTGTTTCTTTTTCAAGTTTACAGAAATACACACATAACTGAGGAGGGGGCAGGGATAGCTCAGTGGTTTCAGCATTGGCCTGCTAAACCCAGGGTTGTGAGTTCAATCCTTGAGGGGGCCATTTGGGATCTGGGGCAAAAATTGGGGATTGGTCCTGCTTTGAGCAGGAGGTTGGACTAGATGACCTCCTGAGTTCCCTTCCAACCCTGATATTCTATGATTCTATGAAAGCCTCATGGACACAACAGTGCTCAGTATGTTTCCTCATTTTCTCACAGCCATTATTACACCACTTATCTTAGGGTATGTCTACACTACGGAATAAGGTCGAATTTATAGAAGTCGGTTTTTTAGAAATCGGTTTTATAAATTCGAGTGTGTGTGTCCCCACAGAAAATGCTCTAAGTGCATTAAGTGCATTAACTCGGCGGAGCGCTTCCACAGTACCGAGGCAAGCGTCGACTTCCGGAGCGTTGCACTGTGGGTAGCTATCCCACAGTTCCCGCAGTCTCCGCTGCCCATTGGAATTCTGGGTTGAGATCCCAATGCCTGATGGGGCTAAAACATTGTCGCGGGTGGTTCTGGGTACATATCGTCAGCCTCCCGTTCCCTCCCTCCCCCGTGAAAGCAAGGGCAGACAATCATTTCGCGCCTTTTTTCCTGAGTTACCTGTGCAGACGCCATACCATGGCAAGCATGGAGCCCGCTCAGGTAACCGTCACCCTATGTCTCCTGGGTGCTGGCAGACGCGGTACGGCATTGCTACACAGTAGCAGCAACCCCTTGCCTTGTGGCAGCAGACGGTACAGTACGACTGGTAGCCGTCATCGTCATGTCTGAGGTGCTCCTGGTCGCCTCTGTGAGGTCGATCAGGAGCGCCTGGGCAGACATGGGCACAGGGACTAAATTTGGAGTGACTTGACCAGGTCATTCTCTTTAGTCCTGCAGTCAGTCCTATTGAACCGTCTTATGGTGAGCGGGCAGGCGATACGGACTGCTAGCAGTCGTGCTGTACCATCTTCTGCCGAGCAGTCATGAGATGTGGATGGCATGCAGTCCTTCTGCACCGTCTGCTGCCAGCCAAAGATGTAAAAGATAGATGGAGTGGGTCAAAACAAGAAATAGACCAGATTTGTTTTGTACTCATTTGCTTCCCCCCTCCCCTGTCTAGGGGACTCATTCTTCTAGATCACACTGCAGTCAAGGTGCAGCGAGGTAAATCTAGCCATGTATCAATCAGAGGCCAGGCTAACCTTCTTGCTCCAATAAGGACAATAACTTAGGTGCACCATTTCTTATTGGAACCCTCTGTGAAGTCCTGCCTGAAATACTCCTTGATGTAAAGCCACCCCCTTTGTTGATTTTAGCTCCCTGAAGCCAACCCTGTAAGCGCCCCTCCCAGCGTCAGAGCAATGGCAAACAATCGGGCATCTGAGAGTGCTGTCCAGAGCAGTCACAATGGAGCGCTCTGATGGGGCTAAAACATTGTCGCGGGTGGTTCTGGGTACGTGTCGTCAGGCCCCCGTTCCCTCCCTCCCTCCGTGAAAGCAAGGGCAGACAATCATTTCGCGCCTTTTTTCCTGAGTTACCTGTGCAGACGCCATACCACAGCAAGCATGGAGCCCGCTCAGGTAACCGTCACCCTATGTCTCCTGGGTGCTGGCAGACGCGGTACGGCTTTGCTGCACAGTAGCAGCAACCCCTTGCCTTCTGGCAGCAGACGGTGCAATACGATTGGTAGTCGTCCTCATCGTGTCCGAGGTGCTCCTGGCCGCGTCGGCTGGGAGCGCCTGGGCAGACATGGGCGCAGGGACTAAATTTGGAGTGACTTGACCAGGTCATTCTCTTTAGTCCTGCAGTCAGTCCTATTGAACCGTCTTATGGTGAGCAGGCAGGCGATACGGACTGCTAGCAGTCGTACTGTACCATCTTCTGCCAGGCAGGCAAGAGATGAGGATTGCTAGCAGTCGTATTGCACCATCTTCTGCCAGGCAGGCAAGAGATGGGGATGGCTAGCAGGCGTACTGTACCATCTTCTGCCGAGCAGCCATGAGATGTGGATGGCATGCAGTCCTTCTGCACCGTCTGCTGCCAGCCAAAGATGTAAAAGATAGATGGAGTGGGTCAAAACAAGAAATAGACCAGATTTGTTTTGTACTCATTTGCCTCCTCCCCTGTCTAGGGGACTCATTCCTCTAGGTCACACTGCAGTCACTCACAGAGAAGGTGCAGCGAGGTAAATCTAGCCATGTATCAATCAGAGGCCAGGCTAACCTCCTTGTTCCAATAACAACGATAACTTAGGTGCACCATTTCTTATTGGAACCCTCCGTGCAGTCCTGCCTGAAATACTCCTTGATGTACAGGCACCCCCTTTGTTGATTTTAGCTTCCTGAAGCCAACCCTGTAAGCCGTGTCATCAGTCGCCCCTCCCTCCGTCAGAGCAACGGCAGACAATCGTTCCGCGCCTTTTTTCTGTGCGGACGCCATACCACGGCAAGCATGGAGCCCGCTCAGCTCACTTTGGCAATTAGGAGCACATTAACCACCACACGCATTATTCAGCAGTATATGCAGCACCAGAACATGGCAACGCGATACCGGGCGAGGAGGCGACGTCAGCGCGGTCCCGTGAGTG